TAGTATATAAACTCGACGAACAAAACTTGAAACTTTCAGGTACAGGAGACAGCAAATGGTTCATGATAAGTGAGGCTTAAAGATGAGAAGAAGATGTTTAACTGTCACAATCTCGCGCTAATATGAAAATCTTGTGGCGTCACTTCAAGACAAGCGAAGACGAAGTAAGCAAACCAAACAATCTTGGATTGCGCATGAGTCAGACCCAGATTTGACAGCATTAACAGAAAATTCTTAGGCAAAAATTGCAAGAAATTGTCCAAGCACGTCACTAAATTGACGAATAGGAGTATTATTTGCTTTATTCGTAATTGCGATTCGCGTCCATATAAACTGGGCTTAAAGCTATTTGACATGCCACTTAATAAACCGATTGAGATAAATAGTCCATGAAGTATGTTTGCATCAGATCGAGTAAATATTCTGATTCGGTTTTTGCATGGTCTTAGTCACACAGGATCCTTTTTAACGAATCTGCATGTTAGTAGGGCCAAAACTGCCTCAAACGATTTTTTGAACAATTTCCAAACATTGTTTTGCTGCAGCGGCCGCCCCTATGCAGCATCTTTTGTAAAAGCATTTTGAGTACGTAAGAATGACACAAAGGCTACCTATTCAACTCTAATTGTTCATTATGTTGTATTCCATAGCTTTTTGTAACCTCTCCACGATGTTTATAGATCCCCGTTCTTGGAAACGAGGAAGTAAAAGCACCGAGAGATGGTCTCAAAGCCTGTCAGCATTTGTCAAATACGTTTGCGAGTGCATTGGTTTGCACCATAATACTATGTTAATACGATCGTAATGTCATTAAACGTTTCATCCAAAGGTTGGCTCCATCTTACGGCTTGGCCGACGATGCGGCAGGCGAGGCGACCATCCGCGCGACAGAGTTTGCCGGCCACGGGCAATCACGTTCGTCGCCGTGACCAGTATAGGTTGAGAGCGAAATGTTTTTACCAACGTTATTTAAATACTGCTTAGAAAGCAATAGTTGTTTGGTTCAAGACGTAATATGTGGAAGAGATTGTGGAGTACATGATTTGAGTCGGAATCGGGGTAGAGATAGAGAATTCCACAAGAATACGAGAAATACAGAATGGAATGTATCTAGAACATTTGTTTCGAGTATATCAGAATGAGTGCCGAAACCTTCGATTCTATTCTAATTAATATTCAACCAGAATTGGAAAAAAAACTCAATGCAGATAGAGTTTTAAGTGCCGCTAAAAAATTGTTTTTGACATTAAGGTATTTACATGTACATATACATTTGTATGGTACTCATAGTTAATTGCCTTAACTGTTAGGAGAAGATATCCTTTAATTTCTTTGGGTAGAAGTATTGCAAAAGTACACTCTTATACGTATATCTTAACCTCTCAAGCTTTCTTCATCGTCTGGAGCTGGAAACAATTATTGACAATAGCAACAATTAACAATTAGGAGAAAAATATTTACTTACTACGTCGGCGAGATTGTTGCTGAAATTGCTTTTAAACAACAGTGAAGAGAACACATAGTCGACGAATAAAAAACTGGACTGATGAGGTTCGGAATTATTTTATTATTAAATGGCAAATCATTTTGGAAGGTTTTTCTAATTAAACG